ATTGTACAAAATTATAGACCGAAGTAATAAGTCCAGAGATAAAGAGAAGGAGAATATACTCAAACGATAGGATTCTTGAGGTTGAGCTAAATCAGAAGGGTAAATCAGGACGAGGAGGGGTAGAGTGTAAAAAGGGTGGTATTGTTACGCGAGATAGTTCGCATTCCTTGTACTACTCTCTCTCTCTCTCTCTCTTTCTCTTTCTCTCTCTCTCTCTCTCGGTGGCTTTAAGTAACTGGAGCGAACGAATAATAACGAAGAAATAACGACGAGAGGTGTGCGTGCAAGCGTAAAGAGATTTTTTTTTTTCGTGTCAAAGGAAGGAAGGAAGGAAGGAAAGAAGGACGGAAGGAAGAAACGAATGCAAGAATGGAAAGAGTGGAAGAAACGCAATGACTTTTCTCTTCCTCCTCCTCCTCTCACGACCCTACCCTTCCTCTTCTATCCTGCAACCCTTTGCACTTCTGTTCTTTCCTTCTAATAATAGCGATGTCAGGTTTAGGTAGATATGCGCAACGACAGTAGCAACTGTCTCATCGAAAATGGATACCTCATCGTCGCGATCTACCAACCCTTAGTCCCACTCCTCACCCCCTCTCCTTATCTCCTCTTCCTTCCCTCCCTCCCTCCCCGCCCCCTCTGTTAGACGTAGCACTAATTCTGCAAAGCCACAGGGTTTGGAACTCAGCCAGGCTTGTAATATTCAACGCTTGACGGCACTCGGCGCGTTAAATTAAGAATGGTGATGTCGTGGACGCGGTAATAATTTAAGTCTTTATTCATGTCTCTCGGTTAATAGTACTTTTAGCTAAAAGGTTTTTTTTCCATTTTTTTTTTTTTTCTATATTCAAGATGCCACGCGAGAACAAGGGGAAAAGAAAGAGGTAGGGGGAAGGGGTTTGAGGACAAACGGAGCGGAGAGAAGAAAGAGAATGAAAAATAATTCTTTGTAGGGTGTTCGAAACTCTCGATAGACTATCTCTCTTTCTCTCTCTCTCTCTCTCTCTCTTATTCTCTTATTGTTAGTCGAATGAGAAAATGCATGCGGTAGTTCTGTGTGTGGTGGACACGAACTATTCTTTAACGCGATATAACACGCTCGCAATTTCAATAGAAAAGAATAAAGAGAAGGTGGCGAACGAGGGTGCTGGTGCTGGTGATGGTGGTGGTGATGATGATGTAGGTGTAAGAGGAGGTGGAGGAGGAGGAATAGTAAGTCTCGATAATCGATAACGCCAGCTAATAAAATATTTTCCCGATGAGAATCTATCGGAGCGAACAGATATCGTGCGGTTAAACGAGACGAGCTGGATACTGGTGTATAATAAAAATTTAGTTGTCGGAAAATAAGCAGACGCCCATAGAAGTTACGAGCGGTGGGGGGTGGGTGGGTGGCTTGAGGGGAAGGGAATAAAGCTCGGTCTCGCGTTCGCATAAATTAGCATGTTAATGAAACGGTCGCGTACAACACCGCGAGTAGCGCGTAGAATTAGAAAGAACCGTGGGTGGGGGAGGAAAAAGGATGAGAGGAATGAATTTTGGAATCGCCGATTAAAACGTACCCTCTCTATAATTGCATGGAATAAATACAAGAAAATAAGAAAATGGAGGACGAGAAAAATATATATACATATATATATGGATACCCATTTTAGTCTTCTATCTCTCGTTCGAATTTTACGATACGATTATAAATGGTAATAGGAATAGAGGGAAAAAGATTGTGAACGGCGCGTAAACGACTTTCAAAAATCAATCGAAGTTGCCTTGCGTGTTGTAGACGCGTCGACGAGTTATTTTCAGACGCATAATCTTTACCTTTACAAAATTTTCTCACTAAAAGTATTATAACTGAAGAAGAATCTTTGTCGTGTTGTGTCAGGTGTAGTTCGCGCACGCTCGAGCGTATCCGTCTTCGATCGATCGAACTTTGTCTCGAAGATGACTTTAGTAACACGTCGAAACGTCCATTCCTCCCCTATGACTATTTGTATTTTCGATTGTAAAAATATACTGTAAAAACTTGGCAATATCATACCGAGGAAATGAAGCTTTCTTCCTTTTCTTTTCCCTTTTTATTCTTTTCTGAAATGTCATCCTATGGGAAGTAACTAAATTTGTTTTCGATTGATCAAACTTACAATGGGTCAATCCGCGGACTTGTCAACGATTCGATTCAATCGGAAAAGATCAAATTCGAATAAATCTGCGTACGTACTTACGAATGGATGGATGGATGGATGGATGGGTGGACGAACGGGCAGATGGATGAGCAAGAGAAGATACGTTAGATTGGAATCTGTTTGTCGAAGAAACTATCTACCTAGATCCGGCAACTTACACGCTGATAAACCGACCGTCTAATCTTCTCCTCGATCTTCACCGCGCGCCTCTATCCGCCGCCAACTGCCTGAAATGAATTATCGCTTCCTGTGCACACACACAAACACACACACACACAAATACACAAACACACAGCTGCCTGCCATCCACGAGATTGGGAGCAAGTTTTTCTTACGGGGCTAGATTGTTTAATAAAATTGCGCTATTGTTCGGGAAAGCTCTTACCTCGATAACTTTGCCAACTTTCTTAATTCGATCAAAGTACCTCCCTCTTGCCCCCAACGTTCCGCTCCTCTTCTTGTTTTTTCTGTTGTTTTTTTCCTCCTGGTCTTTTTACCCCCTCCCCCTTCCCTCTCACTTTAGCTATCACGCCCACGCACCCCCCGTTGTTCTCGATTTGTTTTGCCAGGCAATTTCGTTAACCGGCTCGATGGATTTCTTTTTCGAATGCGTCGAAACTGAATTTGTTACAACAAATTGAGAGAGAAAGAGAATGAGAGAGATAGAGAGAGAGAGAGAGAATTAGTTTTTAACAGTCCGAAAAAAAGGATCTCGTAGTAGGATAAGAGAGAGAAAAAAAAGAAAGATCGATATCGTTTTTCGTTTTATAAGAAGCATTCTAGTAGGTACTTCTTTTTGAAAGAAGAAACTTCCCGCTCTTTGAGATCTCGCCGACCATTTTCCCCATTCTCCTTCGATTTCAAGTTCGGGACAAGAGTCTTCGACGACTTCAAAAAGAATTTAGAAACTCGTACTCGAGTTCTCTTTCTCTTTCTAAGCCTTTAAAAAAGTTTACTCTCTAGTACGGATACTTTTCGAAGGTTATTAAAATGTAAGAAGGAGGACGAGTTTAGTAACTTTAAAGAAACATTCATATCAACCATATATATATGTTTCATTTGATAAATGTTTCTCAAAGTCTTTTTCTTTATCTCTCTCTCTCTCTCTCTCTCTCTCTCTCTATCTTTTTTATTTGATCATTTGACGTATTTCTAAAACAGAGTAAAATCAAAGACGCTCGGTCTAATATCTCACTTTCCCTTTTTCCATTCTCTTTCCCTTTTATAATCTCTCTCGGAGTTTAATCCACTCGGAACGAATTTTTCGGTCGATCCTAACGACGGTGGAAGTTCGTTAACGTTTTCATCGGTGTGTAAGAGCCATTAAGCCTGGGACTGGAACGAATATTATCTTCGTAATTTTAGTACTGCAGTAGAATTTTCCTTCTCTATCCCGTTTCGGCTCGTGTCTACGGGCCACACTAACGTTTTCTCGTTAAAGAGAACGTTTTATTAGTAATCCGAGGCGTTAATCTAAAGATATCGGGGGAGACGGGCTGAGAGAGAGAGAGAGAGAGAGAGAGAGAGAGAGGAAAAAAAGAAAAAAAATTATAATCCATGTTGTAACATCTGCTTAATAAACTTCTTAAGAGTGTCTTTATAAATTGCAACTTATATTCTCTCTCTCTATTTCTCTCTCTCTTAGAATTTATTTCCTATCGATTTGCTATCTATTTGCTGTTCGACCTAATGCAATTCCGTACGAGGTGTCACAAGATTAGAGAACATCGTTGACCTAACTCAGGTCTATGCAATTTCGTGAACAAATTACAGACTCTCTCTCTCTCTCTCTCTCTCTCTCGTTCTAGTCTGAGATATAAAGGCAAGGGACGCTTTTACACGTCCCACGACCGAGACGCGTATTCGTCACCTTATAGGGATCTTTTTACCTCGAAACCAGGGGAAGCCCCTAACTATCTTTTATACATCAACTCGGTCTCATCCGTAGTAGACAAGTATAAACGAGCACACATTTATATCAACGGCTTTCTTACATCGAACCACCGACTACTACTCTTTTTCCTCGTTTTGTTGATGATTTAAAATCGTCTCACAGCGGCGTGAGAAGGTACACACAAAAAAATAGAAGAAAAAAAATACAAATGGATAAGATGAAGAGTAAAAAAGATTGTGTTCTCTTTAGCGGTTCTCATTTCATTTCATTAATAAATAAGAACGAGATAATGCATGCTTCATTGATCCGGTTGGAAATATAGAGAGGAGAAGAAATAAATATATATGGGGAGAGATAATCTTTCGTTGAGAATAACGATCATCAACGGGAACGTAACAATAATTTTAGACAGTGTGTATGTATGTGTGTGTGTGAGAGAGAGAGAGAGAGAGAGAGAGAGAGAGAGAGAGAGAGCAACGTTGATGGCAAACGAGGTGGATAGGCTACTTCAGTGATATAAACGCGCTTGTACCGTCGGTTAGCTCTGAAAGCGTCCATAGATACCTATGTACGTCAAAGACAGAAGGGATAGCTTTGATCCGTGGGTGTTAAAATATTCCTATCCGAGAATTCGCCGAGTGACACTCACGCTAGAACTCTCTATACATACTACTTTCATACTACGGTACCCATTTACGCGTAACTATATTTTACGTTTCCCTTGCGAGCAGTAGCCAGAACGGAGGGGGGACGGACCCTTTTACGTGAGAGTCAAGGCTGTCATTTTTGCGTTAGGACAAATTTACTATTTAAAAAAACATTTGAGCACGGTTAAAATAGCCTTGGCAAGATGGAAAATATAAACGTAGTAATAAAAATAATCGTATGATTTGTCATCGATATCGAATAATCGATCCACTTACAGTCTTTTACGCAAAACGCGCCGATAATCCAGAGCGGGAAGAGCGGGATGATCAGGAAGTTGAGATATCTCGTGTTTGCGTTTGATCGTAGACTCCTCCCGACGTGCAGCCTCAGGTAAACCATGATCGTTTCACGTGAATCTTACGCGGCTCGATCATAGCAACCGATCTCAATCGTTGAATAAAACTTCACGGCACATTCTCCTCTCCTCTCCCTTATATTAGTTTTTTTCCCTTGTACTTCTTCTTATTCTTCTTGTTTATTTATTTATTTATTTATTATTATTATTTTAAATGAAACCACCACCACTTTCGAAAAGCAGCGTGGATCTCGAACACATTTCGTTCATCTCGCGTATTTATTATTTTATTATTATCGTATAACTTCAACACGAGGTTAATCACTATTTTTGGATAAATAAAATCGGAGTAAACAACTCGCGAGACACACGAGACAAATCAATGACTTATTTTTCTTTTATAATTCTTCGGTGCATGAACGTTGCACCTAATCGTAGACACGTTAAATTCTTCCTCTTTGATTGAAAATTCTTTTCATTGAAAAACACACGCACGACGACACACTAATAATCCATTTATCTTATTTCCTTCGTGGCCAACCCCCCACTCTTCTCTCTCTCTCTCGAAAAAACAAATAGTAGAGATCTTTTCCAACGAACGTAAGTTAGAATCGTAAAAAAAAAGTACTATCGAAAAGAAAAAAAGAAAAAATAGCAATAATACCCTTTCTCTCAGTTAAAATATTTCGGCACGCAGTCGCCGAAAAAAGGATGGAGCGAAAACGCAGTATAGCAAAGTAGCGGCGGCACTCGAACGACAACGACGTAATGCGCGCCACTCGCCGTCGGCGAGATTTCCTTGTCCTCCCACCTCCCTCCAACCAACCAACCAACCAACCAACCCTCTCTTACCCTCTCACGTATATACACGATTCGCGTGAGAGCGTATTGTTAGAGAACCGAACGCGGCGCACACCGTGATGCGCTCGCTCACCTGCCGCCGATGCCAACAGTACTACCCCCACCAATGGTTTAACCGCTGCTACCACCACTACCACCACCACCACCACCACCGGTAGCAGCACCCCTACTAACGCCACTGGCGCCGGCCGCAGTACCAGCAACGTCCTCCTCGTGGAGGATCCTTTCCCACCACCACCACCATCACCTCTTTTACTTCCTTCTCTTTCTCTTTCTTCTTCTTCTTCCTCTTCTTCTTCGTTGTCGTCGTCGTCGTCGTCGTCCACGTCGTCCTCTTCCTTATCGTCGTCTTTGTCCTCGTCGTCCTCGTCGTCCTCGTCGTCGTCGTCGTCGTCGTCGTGGCGAGCTACGTCGATCGAAAAGTGGCCTCCCGCGTTGTACGCGCCCGCGCACACGCTTTACCTCGCATGCGTATTGAACGCGACGAACGACCCTTCTTCTTCTTCTCTCTCTCTCTCTCTCTCTTTCTCTATCTGTATATATATGTATGTGTATATATATATATATATATAAATTTGCCATCTCTCTTTCTTCTTACTCTACGTACTCCTCGAACTCTACGGCTTTTCTCACGTAACGCGCCTCCGACCAACTTCTTACACGCGCCCTGCGAAACAAAGCTTTCCAACCAACCCCCCTTCTCTCTTTTTTTTTCTTTTCATCCTCCATCTACTCTCTTCTTCCTTCTTCCTACTCTTCTTTCACCCCCTGTTTCTTTCGACATTCGCTTTCTTTATTTATCCAATACTCCAAGAACGATCTCACTCAAATTCGATCGAAAGAATATATATACTTTCTTCTTCCTTTTTTTATTATTATTATTTTTTTTTCTTATCAAAACTTCGAGAGAGAGTGAGAGAGAGAGATAGAGAGAGAGAGAGGGAGATTGTTTTTCATATTAAATGAAAAATAAATATTACGATGAAAATTTTCAATCGTGGAAAGAAGACACTCTTATCCTAACGTTCTCGGTCAAGTTCTACTTCTTTTAACGAAAAAGAAGGAGGAATGCAATTTAATATAATATTCGTGAGATATGAAAGCCTAGAGTTCACCGTTTCTTCTTTTCCTTGCACTACTATTCTACCAGCTATACTCCTTTGTATGTATATATTATATATTTCTTATTCCGAATGATTTTTCCAGGTCTCGTTTATTTCACCTTTTGCAACCGGGGGGAATGTTGCGACCGATCAACGCTAGATATATCGTTTGTCACGCATATTCAATGCATTTGCTTTGCACGAGTGAAACATAGATGGGCGACGGGAAAATTGCTAGATTGTTTTTCGAAGAGGAAGATAAAAAAAACAAGAGGGTGAACAGAGGGAGGTGCTGGATAGTATAAAGAGGCTACTGCATGACTCTTGCAAAGCATTCTCTCGCACACACTTTTTTCTCTTTTTTTTTTTTTTATTATGTCGCTTCTCGAACCGATACTTTATGATTTCCCATTATTTTCTTCATTTTTTTCTTTATACACCTTTCGAAGATTAACTCTTTTGAGATATTTTTTTGTACCTTTCTTCTTTTTTCCTTTTTATACTTCAACATGCTTTTGTTAATATCGTTGCATCGTTGTTGTTGTTGTTATTGTCGTCGTAGTAGCGTTTAACGATAGCGAAACGAGATCGGACAGAAGTTAATCAGAAAATATTTCCAAGCCAATTTTGGCTAACGCCGATAGACGGGAAACAACAATAATCTCTCGCGAATGGAGTTAACGATCCCCCAGCTAGGCGAGGAACGATTATGTTCCAAGAGATTGAAGAATGTACGCTGTAATTATCCCGAGTATTATTACATTCTGTATGTTATCGCGTTAAACTACTACGTTTTCCCTATTCCTTGGATAAATTTTCCTACGAATCGATATGACGAAAAAAAAAACAACAACAAGAAAAAAAAAAGAAACAAAATGTAAAAAAAAGAGGAACGCGTAATGAGATCCAAAGGTGTAGGTAAAAAAAAAATCGTATTACAAAGTATTCGGATATTCATAGGTCGTAAGGTTTGGTTGATAAGCGAAGGAGTGAGAGAGAGAGAGAGAGAGAGAGAGAGAGAATTTGAAAGAAGATATTTGTAATGGAAACGTTTGAAAGTTCATCCCTACGTAGATATAAATATTATTTAATATAATCTTATGATATATTATAATATCAAACTATTCGGTGTTATGGCAGATCAATTTGTTACCTTTTCGACAAAAAAAAAAGAAAAAAAATAAGATACATATATTTTACTAGCGTTAGATAAAAGAAACGCGAGAAAAGCCAACGATACAAAGAAGAAGTTGTGGAAGGAAACGGACGTATTTTTTTAATCGTCCGATAAACTATTAAGTGTGGACATAAAAAAAGATAAGGAAGAAGAAGAAGAAGAAGAAAAAAAAAAAATCTGGCCAGTTGCCAGTTGGACGATTCTTCGCGTTAACTCGGACACGTCGAACCTCGAGTTTTGCGTTATTCTTAAGCGATAGGAAGTACCTACTACCCCTAGCACCCCTAACCAACCTATCCTAGCTAGCCCTCCTTG